ATCCTCCCCTGCCCCACCTACTCTGGTCTGTCTTCATCAGTTGTGGCCCTGATTTGAGTATGGTGTTTGTTTCCTTAATATTGTTGAACTATAATACTTACTGAAGTATAACAGAGGGTAAAACCCTAGATTGAGTCCTAGAGCTTTTTTTTGTCGGATGTGGGGCCTAAACTCTGGGCCTGGGCACTGTCCCTCAGCTCTTCAGCTCAAAGCTAGTGCTCTACCACTTAAGCCACAGCGCCACTTCAGGCTTTTTCTGCTTATGTGGTGCTGAGGAATTGAACCCAGGACCTCATGCATGCAAGGCAAGCACTCTATCACTGAGCCACATTCCCAGCCCCTCCTAGAGCTTTTATAGAAGAGACTAGAAGTTATATGTAAGTATGCTTCATGTATTTTTGTCATATGATGCCATCTGCCATTTTGGGACTCTGCCAGCAAGAAGCCTTGCACAGAACTAAGCTTGAATAAACCTTTCTAAAATCACCCAGCATCAAGTATTTTGTTATAGTAATGAAAAATGGACTAAGAGTTGGGCGCTGGTGGCTCACACTTGTAATCCTAGCTACCCAGGAGGCTGAGATCTGAGGATTGCAGTCCAGAGTCAGCCAGGGCAGCAAAGTCCCTGAGATTTTTTTTTTTTTTGTCCATGGGGCCTGAACTCTGGGCCTGGGCGCTGTCCCTCAGCTCTTCAGCTCTAGGCAAGTGCTCTACCACTTGAGTCACAGCACCTTTTCTGCTTATGTGGTGCTGAGGAATCGAACCCAGGGCCTTATGCATTCTAGGCAAGCATTCTACCACTGAGCCACCTTCCCAGCCCAAGTCCCTGAGATTCTTAGCTCCAATAAACTACCAGAAAACTGGAAGTGGCACTATGGCTCAAGTGGTAGAGCATTTGCCTTGAGAAGCTCATGGACAGCGCGCAGGCCCAGCGTTCAAGCCCCATGACGAACAACAAAAAGACAAAGAAAAAAGGACTAAGGCAATATTCTGTTTTTTCAAGGCCCCACAATTTTCTTCCCTTCCCTTAATACTTCATGACATCCGCTTTTTTCTTAACCCAGACCCTCTCAGCTCATGCACTGTGCTCACAGCTTCCTAACTGGCCCCCATAGTATCATGGCTCCTCTCCCCACTCCCTTCTCTGAGCGCTCCTTTTATCCTGAATTCACCCTCTGCTTCCCCCCAGCAGTGAGACAGCTCCTGTTTATGCTAGGAATTCTCCATTCTCCCCTTCAGCTTACAGCCTTTGGGCACACCAACTTGCTCATAGCCGGTCAGAGCTGTGGAATAGTATGTAGGAGCAAACTCCACAGAGTGACATTTGAGGGGGCTTCTCCCTCACAAGGGTAGAAGGCAGCTGGGGAAAATGACTTTGCAGTGATTAGAAACCGTTAGAACTTCACTTCGAGTGGGGTGGGGATAGGTAAAAGGTTCTTGTAGTAGCAAATGGGATGTTTGCATACTTATCAGTGCCTGACACTTAATTGGAGTCAGCTGGTTTTGAAAAAAGAAAAAAGAAAAAACAAAAAACAAATCCATCTTGGTTTACTCCACCAGATACCAGGAACCAATTTCCTGTAGTGAATGACAATCACTTGGAGAGTATTTGTTTCTCAATGGATGTGGAAAAGGCTCCAACAGGAGTTTTATTAAAAAGGTATTTTTACTCTTTGCTAATAGCTTCTTTCATCTTATTCCCCCATGTAATAAGATCTAACTTCTAGTTGTGGGGAAACTTTACTCAATGTAGAGCTGTTACAATTAGGAAAGCCAAAGAAAGGAGCAGAGCAGAACACCTCCCACCACTTAGCAACTGACAGAGTGAGCCTGCTGCTTGCAGCAGACACTGCTTCTACCCAGCGCCTCGGAGACTCGGTTCCAAGTTGCGGGGTTTCGTGTGTGACAGGTCCCCCACAAATTCTCAACTACAGGATGAGGAGCTGGCGGCTCACACCTACAAGTCCTAGCTACTCAGAAGGCTGAGATCCAGAGAACTGAGGTTCAAAGACAGTTCAGTCAGGAGAGTCTGTGAGGAACCATCTTCAAAGATAACCAACAAAAAGCCTGCCTAGAGGTATGGTTCAAGTGGAAGGGCACCAGCCAGCAAGCTTGAGATATTGAATTCAGTAAGAGTACTTGGCAAAACAATTTGACTTGTGCTTGGTTTTAGCTGGAAGATTCACGTTCTGAAGGAGAACTTTATACACACACACAATTTTCTAACCTATCAAGTCCTCTGGCATTTGAGGGAAAGCCAACCAAGAGCAGGGCTTGAAAGGGCTAGTCCCACCCTTCTTTAAACAAACAGCGGGCAGATGATGGATTAGTATTTGTATTGGAATTGATATCCAAACCTTGTGGTTTACTCTATTACTCATTACCCACCAAGCCCCATCCTCCAGGGGAGGGGAGGCCTGCACATGAGTCTACATCCTCCGGTCCACGCCTTCTCCACCTCTGAATACGTGATACTCCAGCCTTTTCTAGCTGCTTAGATTCCCGTGACTTGTCTCCCAGTCATGTGGGTTGCATGTGAGACCAGAAATAATTTTTGTTTTTTGCACTGGTCCTAGCACTTGAACCCAGGGCCTGGAGTGCTGTCCTAAGCTTCTTTGCTCAAGATTACCACTCTACCGCTTGAGCCACAGCTCTATTTCTGGCCTTTTGGTGGTTAATTGGAGATAGGAGTCCCTCAGACTTCTCTTGTGTATCAGTCATGGGTCTTGAACTCTGTGCTTGGGTGCTGTCCCTGAGCTTTTGTGCTCTCGAGGCTAGTGCTCTACCACTTTGAGCCATAGATCCACTTCTGGTTTGGGGGTAGTTGGAGATGTCTCACAGACTTTTCTTTCTGCCTGGGCTGGCTTTGAACAACAATCCTCAGCTTTCAACCTCCTGAGTAGCTGGGATTACAGGTGTGAGCCACCAGTGCCCAGCTTAATCTTTCCCTCTTAAATAAAAAGGTGAGTTTGAGGCCAAGCAGGTGATGGCTTAATGGTTTGTCTTTTAACCTCTCTACACATCTGAAAATTGGCTGTAGGTTGCTTGAGATTAAATAAGAATATATAAAATTCTTGTTTTGCCAGTCCTGGCGCTTGAACTCTGGGCCTGTGCATTGTCCTTGAGTATCTTTTTTTGTTGTTATTCAAGCCTGGTACGCTATCACTTGGGCCACAGCACCACTTCTGGCCTTTTCTGTTTATGTGGTGCTGAAGAATTGAACCCAAGGCTTCATGCATGCTAGGCAAGCACTCTACCCCTAAGCCACATTCCCAGCCCTACACAAAGTTTATATATATATTTAAAGTTCTTTTCTTCCCATCTCTGTTAACATGCCAGCTCTCCCAAAAGTAGCCTTTTCCTGAATGGTGCTGAGAAGTCTAGATGCTTTATAACTCAAGGTTAAAACTAGGGCAAAGCCGGGTGCAGGTGGCTCATACCTGTAATCCTAGCTACTCAGGAGGCTGAGATCTGAGGATCACGGTTGAAAGCCAGCCTGGGCAGAAAAGTCTGTGATTCTTATCTCCAATAAACCACTAGAAAACCGGAGTGACACTGTGGCTCAAGAGGTAGAGCGTTTGCCTTGAGCTGAAGAGCTGAGGGATAGCGCCCAAGCCCAGAGTTCAAGCCCCATGACCGACCAAAAAAAAAAAAAAAAGGCAAACTGAGTGCTGGTATCTTACACCTGTAATCCTAACTACCCAGGAGGCTGAGATCTGAGGATTGCAGTTCAAAGCCAGCCCAGGCAGGAAAGTCCGTGAGACTCTTATCTCCAGAAAACTGGAAGTGGTGCTGTGGCTCAAGTGGTAAAGTACTCACCTTGAGCTGAAGAGCTGAGGGACAGCGTGTAGGCCGAGTTCAAGCCTCATGACCGACAAAAAAAAAACAAAACAAACAAAAAACTAGGTCATACCTATAATCCCAGTACGCACGATGCTGTATTGTGAATCTTGACTACATAGTAAACCTATTTCAAAAATCAGGGTGAGAATTATCTTATTTCCCTGTACTCTTACTGCATGTGGTGTTTGTGTTGAATGTGTCAAAGTCAAATCTTTTGGTAGAGCGCTTGCCTTGCATGCCTGAGGCCCTGGGTTTGATTCCTCAGCACCACATAAACAAAAAGAAAAAAGCCAGAAGTGGCGCTGTGGCTCTAGTGGTAGAGCGCTAGCCTTGAGCTGAAGAGCTGAGGGACAGCGCCCAGGCCCAGAGTTCAGCCCCACGACTGGACCCAAAAAAAAAAAAAAAAAAAAACCAAATCTTTTGGGAGAAAGCAGATTTCTGCTAGGTGTTGTTGGCTTACGTCTATAACGCTAGCTACTTAGCAGGCTGGCCTGGAGGATTTCATCTCAAGGCCAGTCAAGACAGTTTAATCTTGGAGACTTCATTTCTAAAATGCCCAGCACACAGCAGGATGGAGGCATGGTGTAAGTGGCAGAGTGCCAGCTGAGCAAGCCAAGTGAGTTCAAGGCCTCTCAGTTCAAACTTTGGACACGAACAGTAAGAGAGAGCCTAAGGCTCCTGAAGACCATGGATTGAAAAGCACTCCACAGGATGTCATTCCCTGGATACCAGAGGAACTCTACCTGAGCCTATACCTCAGGATCTCCATGCCAGGCACCCCTCTGTGCAGCCAGGCACCCCTCTGTGCAGGGACAGCAGGATGAGCTGGCTGCATTTGCAGCGATGGAAGCAGGAGGGAGAGGGAAGGCCTGGAGGAGCCTTAGTCCGGCCCCCTGCTGCCTTTCTTTTCCCATGGCCCCAGTGCTGCTCTGCCCTGGATGTGGGAAGAAGGCAAAGCCACCAATCAGGACTCGCAGTACAACTTAACCGAGGGTGAAGTGGATAAGCATCAGTCCCCAGGCGAGCTCTGGTTGACTGGGACAGCACAACAGAAGAGCGTGTGCCAAACCCTGGGGGAGGCAAAGCAAGAGCTAGGCCCGTGGGGCTCCCTCACCTGCCTCTCCTAAGGCCCTCAGGACTTACGAGGAAGCAGGAACTGAGGCTGCTTGGCTATTTATTGGCCGTAAAAAAGGAACTATACAGATCTGAGGTGCAAGAATTAAGAGGGGGGGCCCTATCTGAGGCTGTACGCCCCCCATTCCAGAATGCTCCAGTCCAGAGCCTGGAGCGTGGTCCTTGTGTGCACATCTGTATTGGTGAGCTTTGTAGACGCACGGAGTGTCTGCTAAGTGAGCTGCCCCCGTGGGGGGCACTGGGATTCCTTGCCCAACAGCTGGGCCTGCAGAGGCTGAGGAAGCCAGAGCTATTAACGGCCCAGCACGGTGGCTAACAGAGCCATGCGGATGTACATGCCGTTCTCGGCCTGGCGGAAGTAGGCCGCTCGGGGGTCGGAGTCCACTTCCACACTGCAGGAGAAGCAGATAGGTTACCTTGCAGTTTGCCTCCTCTACCCCTCACACCAAACCTTCATATTTCTACCACCAGTGTGACCCTGAGCTTAGGCTCTGCCTCCAGAAAGCCTCCAGAAATCCTGGAGCACGAGAAGAAAACATTTAGCCAGTCCCAACACTAGGCTCCTCCCACAGGCAGCCTCAGGGCAGCCTCCAACTGGAAGGAGGCATTACCTTATCTCGTTGACTCGGGGCATCGGGTGCATCACCACCATCTTTTTCTTGGCCCGGGTCATGATGTGGGGTGTGAGGATAAACTGACCAAAACACTGCAAGGCAGATGGGGTCCCGATTAGTGCTTCAGAGGAGGGGTGGCTGCAGAGGACACGATCTCATCCCCCCTTCCTGCCCACAGGTAATTTTGGCAGCTGAGGGGCCTGGGACTTGACAGCTCAGCCCTGGCATGTGCCCAGCCTTCCCGCCCTCTCCTGTGGATGCCTACAGTGCTAACACTGCTCTCTTCCCCCAGCCAGGCACTCACAGCCTCGTATTCCTGGGTGGACCCGAACCGCTCCTTCTGAATTCGAGTCATATAGAGCACATCGGTGTCTGGCAGCGCCTCCTCGATGTTTTCAAACTCCTCCTGCGGGAGAGCAAAGCCGGGTCATGGTCAGGGCGGCCTCCCCTCCCAAACCACGGCCCCCAGGTCAGACTGGGCCCTTATGTCTCACCTGCTTGGTGCCACGGGAGGCCACAAAAGCCCATACACTTGGTGGCATGCGTAGGCTGGGAGGTGCCACATAGCGCAGGCTGACACGGTACTGCGTGAGCAGGCAGGCCAGGGAGTGTACAGTGCGTCCATGCTTCAGGTCACCCACCATAGTGATCTATAGGAGAACCCAATCACGAGAGGGACTCAGACTGAGTGCCTACACCACCATCTCAATGTCTTGGGCTCCGGGTGGGACTAACACCCTCTCCAGTCCTCTCCCGGCAGGGCTCTGATCTCCACCACTCTCACCGTCATGCCATTAACGGTGCCCAGCTCTTCCCGGATGGTGAAGATGTCCAGCAGGGCCTGCGTGGGGTGCTCACCAACCCCGTCCCCAGCATTGATCACTGGCCTCCGGCAGTGCTTGGCTGCCAGCTGTGACAACAGGAAGAAAGATGGAGGATGCTACTTCTTGCAGCAACTTCCAACTTCACCACCACTACTCCTGGGTCCTCTCACCCATCTGGCCTGTGTGTGTATGTGTGTGTGTGTGTGATTTCCTGGGTCCTCTCACCCACCTGGCCCAACTCTGTGTCCGTGTGTGTATGTGTGTGTCCGTGTGTGTGTGTGTCCGTGTGTGTGTGCGCGCGCGTGCGTGTGCGTGTGTGATTACTCCTGGGTCCTCTCACCCACCTGGCCCAACTCTGTGTCCGTGTGTGTGTGCCCATGTGTGTATGTGTGTGTGTGCGCGCGCACACTGGGGCTTAAACTCACCATTACATTCTGCCTTTTCACTCAAGGATGGTGCCCTACCACCACTTCTAGCTCTCTGCTGGTTAATTTGAGATAAGAGTTTTGGGGATTTTTCTATCCAGGCTGACTTCAAACCACAATCACTAGATCTCAGTATCCTGAGTAGCTAGAATTACCAACTAAGACGTAAGCACCGGCAGAAGGGACCTGTCCAGACCCATCAGCCTCATGTCAGTATGCAGGCTGCCCTCACCTCCACTGCTCCAGGCTGGGGGTGCCGGAGCACGACGACGTCAGCATAGCAGCTCATGGTCTGCACTGAGTCAATCAGGGATTCGCCCTTCTGGACAGAGGATGTGGCTTCTGAGAAGCTAAGCACAGCACCCCCGAGCCGGGCCATGGCCGCAGCAAAGGAGCTGCTGGTCCGAGTGCTCACTTCATAGAACATGGAGGCCATGACCTTACCCTGGAGAAAGGACAAGGTGAAAGGTACATGAGCGTGTTTGCTCTGGGGAGCCCACAGGACACCTTTGTCTCCCCTCTCACAGGGGCTGCTCAAAGGGCCCTTCTCCATCACCTATCAGAGGTGAAAACCCTATAGCTCTGTCTACCCTTTTCAGGCCACATGATTCCAGGAAGGGCTGAAGCTGGTGCCCAGGCCCCAGACCAATACCACTACAAGGTGGGAAAGCATGGGGGAAGACCTAGAGAGCAGGACATTTCAGAGAAGAGGGCTGAACCATAGATAGTACAGCATCTGGACACCCGAGGGACCCAATGGCACTCAGGCCACAGCCCTGACCTTGAGGATGTCGAGGCTCCGCTCTTTCTGCACCATCATCCGCAGTGTATGCGCCACATTGAACAGATGAGACATCTAAGAAGTCAGCAGGGAAGGCACTGAGGTTCTGGCCCCAGGCTCAGAATCCTCAGTGCTCTGGGGAACAAACCCCATTCTGTCCCCTAGATACCTACCTGATCCTTCGTAAACTGCTTCACAGACAGGATGTGTTGGCCCACTAATGAATGCAACAAGGGTGAGGTCTGGGGGTGCAGCAGGCCGGGGGCTGCCAGGTTCTGTGGCGATGCCTGTCTGGGGACTGGTGGTGGGGGGTGGCAGGTGCTCTCAGGGGTTCCCGTCAACTCTGCAGCGAGAGATGGGGCAGAAGTGATGGGTCAGAGACTCCTCCACCCAGGCCGCACTGCACAGGGCCCCTCAGTGAGCGTGGGTCAGGACAAACTCACCTGTCTCCGCTGCCTTCCAAGAGGTCTTCTCTTTTGGCTCTTCAGCTGCAAATAGGGTGGGGAGCAAGTTAGATGTTAACATGTTGCTAAGGGGTAGAGGACCCCATTTTCCTGGGGACTCTGGATCACGGTGCTTGTTAACCACCTCACACCAGTCACTATAGCAGGTTAGGGGGAGGGCAGGGAGGGGTGCAGAGGCGCTGGGGAGGGACACTGGACTCCCCATGGGCTGGGCTGTAGCAGCAGCAGGCCCTCCCAGTGCTTCCCAGCTATCACAGGGATCTGAGGCAGAGAACAGCCAGGCTCACACCAACCAGCAACTAGGATTTACCCCTTGGCTCGGCTGCCCCATGAGATCCCAACTCCTGGGCGAAGAAACATAGCTGCCCACAACAAAAGAATGCCTGTGAGAAGACACTGTGGGAGGTGTACCTCACATGTGACAAAAAGTAGGGTACAGTGGACTAAACAAGGTCAAAGGGATGGACAGGACAGGGTAAGCAGACAGAGGCGAATGCTGGAAGAGCCTCTCTCCCTACAGAACAGAGGGACTCGACCTCCTGTGCCACACGAAGCCGTCCTACCTGGCAGACCGGGGTCAGAGGCTCGGTGGATTCGGGGTGGCAGGTGGAAACGGCCATCAGAAAGACCTGGAATGCCCCGGCGTGGCCTCTCGGGCGTCTGCAAAGGTGACAGCATGTTGAAAAGTGACTGACCTAACACTCTAGCACACATTCATTTCCTCAGGAAGAACCAAGTAGTCCTTGTAACCTGGAGACCCCCCCTCCCCCCATCACCTCGTCTCTGCTCCATCCTCTCAACATGTTGGCAGCAGGCAGCAGACACACTGGCCTCTGTGTGTGCTAACCCAGTAACAGGCCCCTGACAAAACCTGGGCTGGATGAACACTGATCCAAGGCAGCCTCTTAAACTAAGAGTTCACTCTGTTCTGCAGGTGGTGGACGGTTTTCCACCCCCACTGAAGCACCAATGGAAATGTGGAGTTGTAAGTTCTGCCTTAGGGCATACTGCCCAGGCCCGCCTCAGCCAGGCCTAGCGCAGACGTGTGTGGGCCCAAAAGTGTGGTTACCGTGGTTATCTCACTGGTGGCAGGGACTGAAGGTGGGGGCTGGGGGACAGCACCCTGGGGCCACTTCCGTACATCTTGTCCATAGCCTGGGGGCACCAGCACCTGCAAACAGAAGGTGGAGTCAGGGCCATGAGAGGAAAGACAACACCCTAACCCGGGCTTCTAAAGAAAGACAAAATCATGTTTCCTGGAGTACAGGGTGGGTGGAGTGAGAATGTGGGTGTCATTGGAAAGAAAAGGAAAATGGTGCAGAAGTCACCGCTGAGACTAGGCAGGGTCCCCACACATACCTGCCCATCGATATAGGCAACTTCCCCTCGTAAGACCACACGGCGGACGGTGCCCTTCACCTTCTGCCCCTCGAATGGTGTCCAGTGGGCCTTGGAGAAGGGCATGTGGCTGGGGATTGTCCACTCATGCTCCAGATCCACCTGCGCAAAGGATCGTGAATTGTGGAAAGAAAGGTCACACAGAAACAGTCCCAATGCTGGGTGCCGGTGGCTCACACCTTTAATCCTAGCTACTCAGGAGGCTGAGATCTGAAGATCATGGTTCAAAGCCAGCCCGGGCAGGAAAGTCCGTGAGACTCTTATTTCCCATAAACTACTAGAAAAGCGAAGTGGTGCTGCAGCTCAAGCAGTAGAGCGAACTCGCCTTTGAGCTGAAGAGCACAGGGACAGTGCCCAAGCCCAGAGTTCAAGCCCCCAACCGACCAAAAAAAGAAAAGAAAAAAGAACCAGTTCCAATGCGGCCAAACGCCCCCTTTCCAACCCCGGCCTCTGTCCCCACCTCCACATAGGTGTCCTCCTGTGGCGGCAGGTGGAAAATCCGCCGAGGAGCATGGTGTAGTCGCTGCAGCACGTCATCCAGACTGAGCCGGCCCTCACTCACGGCCGTCAGCAGCAGGGGTAGCATGGTCTCTAGCCCTGGGAAGCCGGGAGGAGGCTGGGCCCCGCATTTCTCTTCCAGGGTATGGGGGGCTGGGAGAAAGACAGTCATTACCCTGGGGGTGGGACTAGTCGCTTCCACCTCTAGGAGAGGGGACAGAAAGGGTCACACGCCCCCAAACTACACATCAGTGACCTCTTCATTCTAATAAGCCCAATCTCATTTTTTCTGAGAGCTGGACACTAGGAAGTGGGGCAGCTGCCTTCTCTGCACACCTCAGCCCACTTGCAATCATCTGTCTGAGATGAAGTGCTGAACAAAGGCTGAGCTCCTTCACAGATCAAGACTGTCTCAGCCCAGCCCATTTTCTTTTCTTTTCTTTTTTACATTACATTAAATGTTTTTATTCTGTTCTCTATCTTGTTATCAAACAAACCAGCCCATTTTTTTTCTAGGGCTACCCCACAGCTTGAGCTAGGGCATGAGCCTGGCGGAGCAGAAGAGGAAAACACTGAGCCCTCTCACCATGGTCTGTGGCAAAGCAGTCAATGACATCCATATTCTCCCAGAGGGCTTCCACATCCTGGCGAGAGCCAAGCTTAGGCCGGACGTCCCCCTTTCCAGGTCCAAGGCGCTCCAGGTCATCCTGGCTCAGGAACAGGTGGTGAGGTGCCACCTCACAGGTCACAGGCAGCCCTTGTGCCTTTGCAGCTTTGATCAGCAGGATCTGGGGAGAGTGCAGGGAGATGCAGGAGGCTGCTACATGCCCTGTTCTACAAAGTCCCTGGGGCCGGCATCCCTTCATGGAGCATGAGGAGCCAAATGTGCCAAGGGGGCTGGCTTGAGGCTCTCTCACCCTCTCCCGCCCCAAAGGCCTCTCATGACCTCTGTCATTACTGGGAGAGTGACAGGGGCACCAGAACCCCTGGTGCATTCTCACCTCCTCTTTCCGAGCCACGTGGCATATGTGTACTGAGCGCTGAGTCAGCTGAGCCACCATGAGGATGGCAGCGATGGTCTGTTTCTCTGCATGGACCACGATGGGGAGGTGGGATGGCCATGTCTCAAAGTGCTAGGGGCAGAGAGAACTGATGAGAGTGTGCGCAGCCTGAGAGTCTGCGCTTGTCAGTCTTCTCTGAGAGCACCCCAGAATCCTTGGTGCTGGCAAGCCCTGCATGCTGGGAGATAGCCTTCTCCCGCAGGCATACTCCTTACCTCCATCCACTGGGCCACACTGTCCAGCTGCAGCTCAGAGAAGGTCTCGTTGAGATAGAGCTTCAGCCCTGCTGCAGACCCAGCCACAGCACCCAGGGTGCCTGCATTTTCAGATGAGGCCCCAAGGAAGAGGGCATAGTCACAGCGAGCACCAGCCTCTGCCAGCTGAGGAAAATACACATGAAGTAAGGCTCACTGGCAGTCATACTCATTCACACGCTGGTGCAGGCCTTGCGCCAGAGGCCTGGGCCCAAACAAGGGCAGAGGGAAAAGGACTGAGGGAGGCAGGGGTGCAAAGGCTCACCTTCTGGGCAAGGGCCAGAGAAGGGGCATCGATGATGGGGGGCCGGGTATTAGGCATGGCACAAACCATGGTGACACCCCCAGCCAGGGCAGCAGCAGTGCCAGAGGCAAAGTCCTCCTTGTGTGTCCCACCTGGTTCCCGAAGGTGCACATGAACGTCAATCAATCCTGGGAGAACATAGGGACAGCAAGAATAGAGAGACATTCAGAAACAGGAAGGACACAGGGATAATTGAAGCCCCTCTGTCAAGGAACCCTGGCCTGAGGAATGAAGGTGCCCAAAGTGAGACAGAGTCTAGGGCCTTCTTGGTACGATCGAGCCACACTGCTATGTCAGCTGCTATCAATTTCCCAAGGGATTCACTTACCAGGGAGTCGCACAAGTTTCTGTGAGGTCATGCAATCTACATGCACCTTCAAAGGAGGGGCTGATCCGATCTGGCCCAGAGCCTGTAAGTGGAGAATATGGTCAGCATTAGTTTCCAAGGAGGCGATGCTGGGAGTTGTAGGTAGGGACCAGGCTCCTCTCCCTCCATGCCCACCTGTTCCCCTGAGGCCAAAGCTTGAATGGTAGCATGTCTGTTTTATAATGACATTATAAATGTGCACACATGCACGCACGCACACATGCACACACCATGAGAGCCATAGTATCTCTACCAGTACCCAGGCCTCTGTTACCTCCACAAAGAGTTTGGTGCACTTGATATCGATGATGAGTGGCACAGAGAAGTCAGCAGCCAGGCGCCGAGTACGATAGCCCTTGGTGACGAAGGAAGAGAGACGCCGGCCCCCAGCCCCACGCATGGACAGGTTAATCACTAGCTCAAAGTGGTTCTCAGCCAGTTGCTCCAAGATGCTTCGCTGTGGTGGGCACTCACCATCCACAGCTTCTTCAAAGTGCCAGTCCACAGCTGTTACCTACAGCCCAAAGCCAAGGTCATGGCCAAATTGAGACTGGCAGGGGTTAGGAAAGCCAGCCTAAAGAGAGAGGAGCTAGCCTAGGACTTCATGACAAGACTGAGAACAAATGGGGTGGGGACCAAGGGCTGCCTCCATTGCTACTGGCAAGGCTGAACTTCTTAACAGGAAAGGTATCTTAACAAGAAAGTTGTGGAGGAAGACAGGTTACCAAGGTCTACAAGCACAGTGAGCTCACGTGTGTGCACATACAGAGAAGATTTGGGGAGGGGAAAACACCAGTACAGGACTGTGGGGACTTCTCTAAGTGCTCATGCATCTTCTACTGCACGTGTACACAGAACACACGTTACTCGCACATCACAGAAAGGAGGAACAGGGAAAGACCCTCTGAGGCCTGAGGAAAGCAGACAGTTGGCCGTAGGAGGTGCACCTTGACGCCATGCTCAGTGTAGAAGTCAGCTGTGCCCAGACTGGCGTAGAGGCTGTAGCCCAGGCTCTCCAGCAGCCGTACTGTGGGGAGCAGCTCACTTTTGTTCTGAAATCAAGCAGAAGAAAACATGAAGAGGGTGCCTTCCACTCCCAGGTTAAGTCCTGGCAGCCAAGGGCTTGCAGCCCCTAACTTCTCAAGTGCCCCTCCCCCCCACATTCTGGTACCTTATAACTGCCAATGGTCAGCAGGATGTTCTTCTTGGGAATCTTAAAGCCAGTACTTAGCATGGCTTTGAGGTAGGCCTCACAACGGCTCTCCCCAAAGCCAGCCACCTCCCCAGTACTGGTCATCTCCACACCTAGCACCACATCGGCACCCGCCAAGCGGGAAAAGGAGAACTGAGGCACCTGAGGGAAGAAGAGCGCAGTGTCCTGTGTCACTGTTATCCTCTTCTGGTGCAGCAGCTCCTGTCTTTAAATTCTTTGCACAATTGGTCATGTAGGTTTAACAGACTGCTGTACGACAAAGCTATTTTGGGACTGATTTCTCTTGCCCCATTATTTCTGAGCTTCTAAAGACTGAAGACTACCTCTGTCTCACAACTGGAAATCCCTTGCTCAGCATGTATATAACTACTGACGGGGCCTTTTCTCTCCATTTGTCTGCTAAGTCCAAGGGTTCTAGTCCTTCTTACCTTTACCCCGACGACTCCAGAGCCAGTCATTAGTCCCACCGGTTCTACCTTCTCCCCCATGATGACTCGTGTGGCCAAGGCTACTAGGTCAACACCTAGTGTCTTAGAGACGAAGGGGAAGGAGCGGGACACACGCACGTTGCATTCAATAACCTTCAGCTGGTCATCCTGGGGCAGAGAAGCACCAGGTCAGTCTTTGGGTAGCACCCTGGGCCTGCTCATGCTGCCCTATTGACCTTGGTTGGCTCCTATCCCCAGAATCCATTCTGTTAGTAATCAACCTGGGTGACTGGCTGGCACAGCCCTGACAATACTGCAGGCTCCAGACCTACCTAGTCCTCCCAGATTTGCTGCCCATACAGACAAGCACAGAAGACACTACAAGGGTTTCCCGTGTTTTCTTTTTTACCTTGGCTATGAGCTGTAGATTGAAGGGTCCCATGACCTGGAGCTCCTGGCCTACAGCATGCACAATGGCTTTGATCCGTTCCAGAGTTTTGGGGGTAATGTCTTGTGGTGGGGTCACCAAGGTGGCATCTCCTGAATGCACACCTGCATTCTCCACATGCTCAGAGATGGCAATGGCTGCCACCACACCATCACATGCCACTGCATCCACGTCAATCTCCTAGCAGGGGACACAGGCAGTGTAATGCAGGGTAAGAGACATGTTCTCCCACCTGCCCTTCCCCTAGGAATCTTCTTTTACACAAAAGCATCAACACAACCCATCTTTCCCAGCCCAATGAGCTGATGATTCTGTAGGGACCCAGAAAGTCTCCAGATGCAGGAGGCTTTTCACCTTGGCCTCCTGGATGAACTTGGAGATGACCACAGGGTGTTCCTTGGACACAGCAGCTGCACTACTCAGGAAGCGCTCCAGGTCTCCATCAGTGTAGGCTACATTCATAGCAGCACCACTCAGCACGTAGGAGGGGCGCACCACACAGGGGTACCCCACAGTCTTGCAGAACTGGCGAGCAGACTAAGGGAGGCAGGGAGCTTAGCAGGGTTGGTCACACTCACTCATAGACATCACCTGGCTCCCTAGCCCCCCCCCCCCCCCCCCCAGTGGGCCCCAGCCTACCTCTAGGTCACTGAGCTCCCTCCACTGAGGCTGGCTGATACCAATGGTGTCGAGGAGCCGGGAGAACTTGAATCTGTTCTCAGCCGAGTCAATGGCTTCAGGGGAGGTGCCCAGCACCCGGCACTGTTGCCGATGCAAAGCCATGGCCATATTATTGGGCAGCTGCCCACCCATGGACAGGATCACGCCTTCAGGGTTCTCCAGCTCATAGATGTCCATCACCACCTTTTAGTACAGGGTGGCAACAAAAGGGGTCAGGGAACTGAAACTTCTTCCTGCTCATTGTTTCCCTCATCCCCAAGTGCCAGAGAATCTTGGATCACCAAGACTGCCACCCAGGTACTGGCAGGCCCATCTTTCTCACCTCAAAAGAGATCTCATCAAAGTAGAGTCGGTCACACATGTCGTAGTCAGTACTGACCGTCTCTGGGTTATAGTTCACCATGATGGTCTTATACCCCATCTGTCATGGAGAAGAATGCAGTAGCAATTAGGAGGGAGGAAGGACACAAGAAACAAAGCCCAAGTCCCCACTGCAGAGTGCAGCCACCTCAGTTTCCTATGGAACAGCTAGCTTAGAGCTCACAGCTAGCTTACAGCCTTGAGGGAATGTAGGCAAAGTGCTGGGGAGGAGACTCAGACATTGTGTGGGGCCCAAGAAAGGCCCAGAGTTCTGGCAGATTCTGGTTACTAACAGGAGAGCCAAGAGGATAGGCAATTGCTAGAGCAGAACAAAATACCAGAGAAACTGATGGGAAAGATGGACTCTCAGACCTTTCGCAACTGCTGGATGCAGCCTACAGCACACCAATCAAACTCAACACTGGAGCCGATACGGTAGACGCCAGAGCCAAGAACCAAGACATGCGGCGTTTGGAAGGTGAGGTCATGTGTGTTGCCCCTATACGTCAGGTACAGGTAATTTGTCTGGGCAGGCCACTCAGCTGCGACTGTGTCGATCTGCTTCACTGCTGGGCAGATTCCCAGTTCCTGTCGTTGCTTGCGAACAGCCAGCTCTGTGCTAAAGGAGAAGAAGGGTCAGAGATGGAGGCCCTTGTAGCAGGGTGAAGACAGCAGAGGGGTGAGATCTCAGGAGTTATATCTTGGGGATGAAACCTAGATCTTTCCAAGCTCCCCACTAATGACCTTTCTGGGCACAAAAGCTCCCAGCCCCACACTTCTTGGCCCGAGGCCCTCACCGCCATCTCTGACCTCAGAACTGCAAGGGCAATCTGCTTGTCTGAGAAGCCAAGGCACTTGGCCTGGTACAGCAGGTCAGGGGGCAGAGGCTGTCCTCGGTGTTGTTCCAGCAGCTGGGCATGAGCCACAATGCATTTCATTCGGTGCAGGAACCAGCAGTCAATGCGAGTGAGCTCATAAAGGCGCTCGATCGAGTAACCAGCACGCAGAGCGGCAGCCACCACAAAGATCCTTTTATCTGTTGGTGTCTCCAACTCCTAAAAGGGAGAGTGCAGATGAAGACAGGGCTGTGGGGAGGTAGGAGAGGTCCAAAAGTGAAGTAAAAATAGTCTCAGCCAGCAGGTGTAATCCTAGTACTTAAGAGGCTGAAGTGGGATCACTTGAGGCTACAAGTGAGACCAGCGTGGGAAATATCCCCATCCAATACGTAGACAGATAATACACACAGATAAAATTGTACAGTTATATGAGCACCTCTAGATGTACAGGAATTGACTGTGACATTGTGTCAGGCAAGAAAAACCATATATTGCTGCTCAAACTCCTAACTACAAACATGGATACAAACTTCAACTGCCTCTCACTGGCTGTAGGTTGCCAACAACTTGTATAATCTATCTAGTGCTTGGTCTCCTCACCTGTAAAAACAAGTCTAAGCTGAGTGCTGGTAGCTCATGCTTGTATTCTTACTCAGGAGGCTAAGATCTGTGGATTGCAGTTCAGAGCCTGTCCAGACAGGAAAGTCTGTAAGACTCTTATCTACACTAACAGCTGGAAAGTGGAGCTGTGCCTCAAGTGGTAAAGTGCTAGATTTAAGTAAAAGGAAGCTCAAGGACAGTGCCTAGGCTGTGAGTTCAAACCCCAGGACCAACAGACATAACAGACACACATACCACAAATAAATAAATAATCCAGGGGCCAGGCGCTGGTGGCTCATGCCTAGCTACCCAAGAGGCTGAGATATGAGGATTGTAGTTCAAAGCCAGCCGAGGCAGGAAAGGCCACGAGACTCATCTCCAATTAACCACCAGAACTGGAAGTGGTGCTGTGGCTCAAATGGTAGAGGGCTAGCCTTGAGCTGAAGAGATGTGGGACAGCACCCAGGCCCAGAGTTCAAGCCCCATGACCAACAAAAAAAAAAAAGAAAAAAAATCCAAGTCTAATATTGGTAAATGAGATGATACCTCAAAATGCTTAGCAAAGTAAGGGTTTAAGGTGTAGCTCAAATGACAGAGCACTTGCCTAACAATCTTTAGTGATACAAAGCCCAATAAAGAAAAAATAATTTTAGTAAAATGAAAACAAAGCAAATGTCCAATGATGATGGCTGCTAGTTTGTCAACAAGCTCAAAGTCTAGGGCATAGAGCAGAAAGGTTCATGTTAGGGGCGCCGCTGGGAAGGGGTGCTGCTTACCACATCACTGACTGGCTTCACTGTGTGATCAAAGCCCACACAGTTCTCATCCACCATGCGCAGGGCCTTCTGGAAGGCCTCCTCAAATGAACGTCCGATGCCCATGACTTCACCTGGAGGAACAGGATAGATGGAGGGAGGGAGAGAGAGGCACTGCCCAGCCACATGTGTATAAAAGCTTCCAGGAAGGTTTCAAGGCAAGCCCTATGGTGATGAGTTTCATGGCATTTTGTGATTTAAAAATCTCAGATCTATACCCCTTCTCCCATTTTCATGGGAGTGTACTGAGTGGATATGAAAAATTAATGTGTCTAAAATGGATGTGTGGATACTGGGACTTGTTAAGTTTATCACATGGCTCCAAATACTGATGGCTATCCAGTTACTTGGCTTGCTTTATTCAGACCATGATGACACCATCTGGAATCTGTTTCATCTTTTAAGAAGAAAATAATCCTACTATCTTTGAATTCATCCAGAACCAAATACATTTTTTGGGGGGTGCCAGTCCTGGACCTGGGCACTTTTCTGCTTAATGCAGTGCTCTACCACTTGAGCGTAGCACCACTTCTGGATTTTGGATTTAATTGAAGGTAGGAGTCTCACAGATTTTTTTTTTGCCCAGCTGGCTTTGAACCATGATCCTCAGATCTCGATCTCATGAGTAGCTAAAATTATAAGTGTGAGTGACTGGCACCTGGCACTAATACATTTTTTTTTTGGCGGGGGGGGGGGGGGTGTCCGGTTGTGGGGCCTCAACTCTGGGCCTGGGCACTGTCCCTCAGCTCTTCAGCTCAAGGCTAGTGCTCTACCACTTGAGCCACAGGGCCACTTCCAGCTTTTTTTTTTTTTTCTTTTTGCTTATGTGGTGCTGAGGAATCGAAGCCAGGGCCTCATGCATGCAAGGCAAGCGCTCTACCACTGAGCCACCGTCCCAGCCCCACATTTTTAACAATCATTTGAAGCCAATTCAATCCAATTCTGAATGACAAAGATTATGGGTGATCATTTGTCTTTGGCTAATAAACCTTTTCTCAGCTGAGTGTCAGTGACTCATGCCTATGATCTTAAGTATTCAGGAGGCTAAGACCTGAAGTACTGTGTGGTTCAAAGCCAGCCAGGCCAAGAAAATCTGTGAGACTCCTCAATCAACCATAAAAAGCCAAACTGGAGGCTTGGCTCAAGTAATACAGTACAAGCCATGAGCAAGGAAGAAGTACTAGGCCCCAAGACTAGCACAGAAAAACAACAAAAACAACCACCTCCAAACTCTTTCCTCTAGGATTATTTTTTCTTCTTTTTGGATACAGTGTCAAACTATGTAGCACAAGCTGACTTCAAACTCACGATCATCCTGTCTCAGTCTCTTCAGGCCTGGGGTTACAGGTATGTGCCATCATGCCCGGCTCATGTATTTTATGCAACGGAAGCAAGTTATAAAAAGCTATCAAAGAACATCATGTTCTAAGAATACTTGAATAGATGTAAAACATCTAAATGCCTCAGCAAGGAAATAAGCTTTTGATTGACCTATTTTCAATCCACTTCTTTTAGCCATAATTTAATAATGGCCTCATTCCCATGTTTATTATAATTTTCATATAACAGAAATTCATCTCCAGAAGGAACAACTTGGCAGTCTTGAGGATTTCGAAAAATTCAGAAATAATAACTGAGCTCAAACTTACTTGTTTAAAGACCACGACTGCTCCAAACAGAGATTAAGAGCACCAAGAAAACTGCTCCCATCTACTAAACTGGCAGCACTTTTGCTTTAGAAGACAGTCTAAAGCAAGTAAGGGATACCACAAAAAAGGGTGTCAACTTAATTCCAACCTGCACCACCACTGCATAGTAGAGGGCTACTATACCCCTCGTGTCTACTGACAAGGTTCCCATTAAAATAGACATTGCTGACATGCTGCACTGATTTTAACACTGCATTAAAAAAATTATTTCATTTAGTGACCGAGGCACAAAGTGCCAGAGGAGTTGTTAGACAAAGAAATGGCTGCCACCAAGCCAACTTGGGTTTAGAGAGGTTCAGAGGAAAACAACAATAATTATTCCTCTGAAATTTAAATATTTAAACAATGAATCAATGTTACTGGCACTGAAAAATCTCCCGATGAGGCTGTAAGTGGCTCATCCAACTCATCTCATAGATCACATACCGACCAAAGAGCGTGCGGCTAGAAGCCAGGTCCAGTGTTCAGTTCCTGGCTCAGCACACTACTGGTTTGTGTGGCTCAGACAAGTCACTTCCTACCGTGGGCACCTTAGGTTACTTATTTTTTTTGTTAAATAAGAGAGATGAAGCTGGGCACTAATGGCTCATGCCTGTAACCCTAGCTACTGAAGAGGCTAAGATCTGAGGATTATAGTTCAAAGCCAGCCAGGGCAGAAAAGTCTTATCTCCAATAAACTACTCACAAAGAGCTGGCAATGTTGCTGTGGCTCTCAAGTAGTAGAGTGCTAGCCTTGAGCACAAAGAGGCTCAGACAGAGGCTAGGCCCTGAGTTCAAGCCCCAGGAATGGCAAAAAAAGAAGAAGGAGGAGGAGAAGGAGGAGAAGGAGAAGGAGGAGGAGAAGGAGAAGGAGAAGGAGAAGGAGGAGGAGAAGGAGGAGAAGGAGAAGGAGAAGAAGAGGAGGCTAGGCCCTGAGTTTAAGCCCCAGGAATGGCAAAAAAAGAAGAAGAAAGAGAAGGAGAAGGAGGAGAAGAAGAAGGAGAAAGAGAAGGAGAAGGAGAAGAAGGAGGAGAAGGAGAAAGAGAAAGAGAAGGAGAAGGAGGAGAGGAAGAAGAAGAGGAAGAGGAAGAAGAGCTGAGATAGTCTGATGTTTGCCACCTCATTCTTGACATGGTATTTCAGCACAGATTTCCAGATGACTTTGCCCCAGTCCTCATAAAGAGGACTATATTAGGTGACATGTCCCTATCAGCTCTGAAAGACCTTGTTTCTATAAGCCACTACTAATAAAGGAGCCAGGGAACTTTCAGGCTACATCAGGAAGCTTTGACTTTCTAGACTATGGGGCCTGTGGGATCCTGTGGGGTAACTTGGGATATGTCACTCACCAACACTCTTCATGCAGCTCCCAATCTTGGTACTGACACGCAGGAACTTGCTGAGGTCCCAGCGAGGAATCTTTACCACACAGTAGTCCAGGCTGGGTTCAAAGGCTGCTGTTCCTCCAGTAACAGAGTTCCTGGGGGCCAGAGTGGCAGTGCCAGGACAGGGAGGGAGACGCATACAAGGGTAAGCTTTCAGAGAGCTCTCTGGAACCCCACAAATCCAGAACCATGTCCTTTCCCAGTCCCAGTCCCACACATTTTTTATTCCGTTTCCCACCCCTTTAACACTAGATTCTCCCAACTTGTACCTGAGCTCAGGCAGGGGAATGCCCAAAGCTAGCTTGGCGGCCACATAGGCCAATGGATAGCCTGTGGCCTTACTCGCCAGAGCAGAGCTTCGAGAAAGCCTGGCATTCACTTCAATGATGTAATACTGCAAAGAGGGAGAACAGAGAAAGAGAGTCACTGGGTACCTGGCCTATATGTTCCTGTCTAGGAGAGATTTTGAAGGGAGACAAAGTAAGATCTTCCCATAGGAATGGAGTGCAAAACAGCCCTCCCCAAAGCCCCACTTTACCGGGCTTCCACTCTAGGGTCTGCAAAGCCCAAAGACCTCTTGAGGCCTGAAGATTACAGAAGGCAGAGGAGACAACAACAGCTGCAATATTCATTCCACCCTTACCTGCTCAGACTCCGGGTTCAAGGCATACTGTACATTGCACTCTCCAACAATCCCCAGGTGCTGGGTCACCTTGATGGCTGTCCGGCGCAGGAGCTGGTACTCTCTGTCATTCAGTGTCTGGCTTGGAGCCACCACTATGGATTCTCCAGTGTGGATGCCCAGTGGGTCTAAGTTCTCCATATTACATACCTGTGAAGGGAGATCATGGAGGTCACTGACAAGGGAAGTCAGAGGAGACTGCATCTCTAGGTCTTGTTCTGCTGGGTCTGAGGGACCCAGAATCCTCAAAGGGCTCCTACCCCAGTCTCTGCTCTTCTAAAAAGCCCAGACTGGCAGAATCACTCATCCCCAAGCACTCACCGTCACACAGTTGCCATAGGCGTCTCTCACCACCTCATACTCGATCTCCTTCCAGCCCTTCAAGGACTTGTCTATCAGCACCTGGCTGGTATGGGCAAAAGCAGGGGCCACAAGAGCCGAGAGCTCCTCCTTGGTGGAAGCAAAGCCAGAGCCTAGACCACCCAAGGCAAAGGCTGCCCGCACCAGCACAGGGTAGCCTAGTCGCTCAGCAGCTGCCTGGGCCTGCAGTTAGTAGAAGACATAAACCAACAGGTCATTTCCTGCTTCCCAGAAGGTGGCTGGACTCAAGAGTAAACAAGATCTAAAGACAATGACACCATTCTACTCCCACCCGACCACCACTCAAACCTGTTCAAGAGAATTTGCAGCCTCACTGGGGGCCACATGCTCTCCAATCTCCGCCATCCTGGCAGCAAAGGCACGTCGATCCTCAGTGAGTTCAATGGTCTCCACAGGTGTGCCCAAAACGCGGACCCCATACCGAGCTAACACCCCAGCCTTGGTTAACTCTACACCACAGTTCAGGGCTGTCTGGCCCCCAAAAGTCAGTAACACACCATCTGGACGTTCATTACGTATCACCTGAGGCAGAAGAGTCATAAGTATTAAGATCTTAGGTGTAAAGTAGATCAGAGCAGACTAAAAGTCCAGAGTAACCACTGAAATGCCCTGTCCATGGAGAGTCCCCACTTCAGTCCATCCTTACCCAAGTCATACCTGCGTTACATAGTGAGCTGTTATAGGAAGGAAATAGACCTTGTCAGCAAGACCCTGAGAGGTCTGCACTGTGGCAATATTGGGGTTGATCAGCAATGTCTGGATGTTCTCCTCTTTCAGGGCCTTAATCGCCTAAAAGAATAAGAATGGCCTATCAGCCTCTAGTGTGGAAGCAAGATCACAGTCTTAGGCCAGCATCCCTCCTCCCTCTTCTCTCTATGTTCTCAGTCCTTAATAAATGACTTCCTCTTTTCATTTCCTTAGCTATCTGTACATCCCCAAATCCCTACTCCATTTTCTCCCTGCAATCAATGTTTCGTTCACACCTTAGTCCTCCTCAAGACCATCCATTTGAGAGGGGGAAGGGAGGGTAACGGGAGAAAGAGGTCACACATGGCGGGCAGAGAGGTTACATATCACACATCAGAAAGGTACAAAGGCAATGCCTAACCTGAGAACCTGAGTAGTCAAATTCTCCAGCTTGGCCAATGGAGAGACCTCCAGAGCCTAGGATCAGAACCTTTCGTGGTGGTGGAAGCCCAGAGCCAGGGGTGGGGAGCTCAGGGGGACAGAGGCGCTCAGTCAGCCGCTCTCGGACTGTGGAGGCAAAGAACGGCGTGGAATGTCAGAGCTGAGTAGGACTCCAGAGATGTCTGAATTTGTCCAGAGAAAATCATGCAAGTAATGAATGGCACAGAGAGGACAAGAACCCAGAACTCGTGACTCTGGAGTACCCGTCAGTATGAGCAGTATAAACTCTCTGTTCTCACCCCTTAATGTCGCAAACACAGGAGTTTCCAGGGCATGTCCATCTTATGACAGACCCATCCTAGAGCCAGCCCCATTCTTAGGTCTACTCAAAGGTTTACCTGTCTTGCCTCCAGGGTTCCCAGCTGCAACTTCTTTCACAGTTTCCAGAAAGATATCAAAAAGCAGTTCCATATCTGAAGGTCCGGCTCGGTGCTCTGGGTGAAACTGGACACTGTTGAAGAGATTGGAAGAAAAAACCCATTCTTGTCACTAGCACGCCACCAGCAGCACAGAGATGAGACTAGCATAGAGTTTATCCTAATGGAATGAACTCGGGTTCACTGCTGTGTCTTAGTTTCCCATTTTCAAGGTACATGGGATAGCAAAGCCACCCTAAAGCATGCCCAGGCTCACCTGAAGAAGGGCAGGCTGTTGTGTACAATGCCTTCATTAGAGCCATCATTAGCATTGGTGAACAGAGGTGCCCAGCCTGCTGGCAGTGAGTCTGTTTCCACAGCAAATCCATGGTTCTGGGACGTCAGAAAGCAGCGCCCTGAGCCTGCCAGCAAACAGGGCTGGTTATGGCCTCTGTTTCCGTATCTGGAGATGGAAGCATGCAGAATCATAGGCTGCTCTCAGGGCCCATACTTTATTGCACCAAACCCAGCTCTTCTTGATTTCACTGCCCTGAACAGCCCTGCTCTCATTTCCACGTAACACCTTCCAACTACACTCAGCTACTCACTTTTCCCTCATGTCCCAAGCGGGGGCCACTTCTCCCACAAGTCCCACCTCATCTTGTAAGTCTTGGCCCCAATGGCCAAGGCTAACAGTTGGTGTCCCAGACAGATCCCGAAGACAGGCCGGGGATTAGGCTCAGACAAGACACAGCTCAGAGCAGATACCACATTGGGATAGGATGCAGGATCACCAGGACCATTACTTAGGAAGAGACCATCATACTCTGGAGTGGGCAGAAAAGATGGCATCAAAAGCAATAAAAGACAAACCCGCAACCCTGACCATGAGCAGAAGCCCTGGTTTCCACCTTTTCTTCTGCAGCTCATACCAACTTTTAGCAATTGGACTAAGGGACAAATCTTCCACTCAGGCTGCTAGTCTGAGGCAGGTCCCTGCTACTCACCCTGGCTGTTTAATGTGTGATCCCAGGGTACCACAGTGACCTCAGCTCCAAGTTGGCACAGACACCGGATCTGATTATACTTGAGGCCACAGTCCAAAGCAAGGATCCGAGGGGTGCCCCCTGCATTGAAAACCTGTGGGGTCTACGGAATAAAGGGCTAACAGTTGGCAGCTATAAGCTATGCCACCTCCCACCTTCAAAGTGCTAATTCTTCCCCAAGTCTTTACCTAGTTGCCTGCAGAAAATAACTACTGCACTATTGATTGCAAAACTCTACTCTCCTTCTTTACCTTAATGGAGACCTCTGGCACCAAGGGTTGAGCATTGGGGTCCAAGAATGGAAGGGCTGAAGGCTCTGTCCCATCCTGGACCAGCTTCCCCAGCAGCGACCCCTGTTCCCTCAACTTCTTAGTCAGTTCTCGGGTATCCACTCCTGCCAAGACAGCACAGCCTCATAGGTCACACTCCACCAAGTCAGTCGTCAATGAGGTTATACTGCCAGAGTAGTTACAGCGCCAGAGGCACTTTGCTCCAGAGACCTGTGGGCCTCAAGGCTATTCAACAGGCACGGAAATCGTGGGCTATCATCATATTGCCAAAAATATTACATTTGATTTGAACCACCACTCCACATCAATCCAGCTATTTTTTTTTAAGTATTTTAAGGGTGAAAAAGACATGCTAAATAACACAACGAGAAGCTGAGGAAGTTTTCAACATTGCCTATACATGAGGATTTTTTTAATTTAAGTAGTTATACAAAGGGGTTACAATTCCATAAGTTAGGTTATAAATATAATGCTTCTTGGTCAATGTCACCCCTTCTTTTATCCTCCCCTATTTCCTCCACTCCAGTCACAACCTTCAAGTTACAAAGTTCATTTTTTACATAATGAATTAATGTTGTTGTTGTGTGTGTGTGTGTGTGTGTGTGTGTACCAGTACTGGACTCGAACTTAGAGCCGCATACTCTCACTTGTTTTTTTTCCTCTAAATCACACTGGAGCTCTACCACTTGAGCTATACCTCCAGTTCAGCTTTTTGCTAATTAAGTGAGAATGGAGTCTGGGAGGTCTTTCTGCCCAGGCTGGCTTCAAACTTTGATCCTCTGGGTCTCAGCATCTTGAGTAGCTAGAATTTATAGCCACAAGCTACCTGCACCCAGCTAAGGAATTTATTTTTAAAAAATATGATAATAGGCCTGGTGCGGGTGGCTTGCTAACTGCTCAGGAGGCTGAGATCATAGGACTGTTGTTGGAAGCCAGCCTAAGAAGGAGAGTCCATAAGACTCTTGTCTTCATTTAACCAACAAAAAGCCAGAAGTGTAACTGTGGTTCAAGTGGCAGAACCCTAGCTTTAAGCAAAAAAAAAATCTCAGGACAGCATTCAGGCCCTGAGTTCAAACCCTAGGACAGGAACACACACATAAAAAAGTATGACAATAGGAATTGGTGGTGTGACTCAAGTGGTAGAACACCAGCTGTAAGCAAAAAAGTTGAGTAAGAGGCCCTGAGTTCAAGCCCCAGTACCAATTGTTATGTAGTCATTATACTCAATGTATACTATGTAAAAAGTGAACTATGTAACTTGATGTGAGGAAGAAATTGGGGGAGAATGAAAGAAGGGGTGATACTGACCAAGAAGCACTGTACTTATAACCTCAATTATGGAACTGTAACCCCTTTGTACAACTACATCATCATCATCATCATCATCATCAAGCTATAGGTATGGCTCAATTGGTAAGAGTGTCAGCCAGGAGCAGACAAGCCAAGCAAACACAATTTCACACTTTCTATCACAAATTAGACTCAGGTTCCAACACATTTTAGAGACCCTCTGAATGCTTTCCACCTACGAACACTGTGCTGTGGGTCACCTAGATGTCTGTTAGCATACCTTGCAGGCCTGGGATACCATGCTGCTGCAGCCACTCATGCAAGGTGCATGAGGCACTCCAATGGCTGGGTGTGGGGCAGCACTCTCCCACCACCAGTCCTGCCACATGGATCCCCGAGGATTCAAACCACTAGAGAGAAGGAAGAGATTGTGAGAAGCCCAAGGCCAACTATCTCCCCAAAGCCTTTCCCCATTGTCTGGCCATGGACTCTCTGCTCAGCTACAATGAATACACCAAGCACTATGTACTTCTGCAGGTTGGTCCTTTACTAACTGTGCCCTGTCCAGGCCTGAATGATAACTGGAAACGATCATTTCTTTTCCTTTCCTTAATCCAAAATTGACATCAGAATCCCCTTTTCTGCATTCTCAGAAAAGAGGATCTCTTGGTGTCTCTTTCTAAGAGCTCATCTACATCTCATTTCCACTTCTGTTTACATTTTATTATGAATATGTATTTGTACCTGTCACAAAACTGAAATCCTCAAGAGAAAAGTCACTGGTACATAGTGTCAGTGAACATTTACTGAGTGTTCTTAGGAGCAAGCACTGTAATATATGTTGGAAAAAAGGCACTGAGCAAGAATAGATAAGGCCCCTGTCTCCACAATGTTAGTTTCTAACTTAGGAAGCCAGAAATGAAAAAGATAATAAACAAGATGTTAATTACTCCATGTGAAAAAACAGTAAGAAAGAAAGGGTGCCTAACATGACTCAAAAACAGTTTTGGAATACAGTACTAGATGGTGATTGTATTCTTTTCCTGCTTTCTTTGGGATTGTAATTTTTAAGAAGGTAACAGCTGGGCACCAGTGGCTCATGCCTAAAATCCTTTTCAGGAGTATGTAATATCTAAAGATCTCATGAGTTAGCCCAGGAAAGACAAAGCTGAAATTCTTTCTCTCCAATGAACCAGCAAAAAGCTGGAAGTGGAGTCATGACTCAAGTGATAAAGCACCAGCGATGAGTGAAGAAGTCCAGTGAAAGTAGAATCCCTGAGTTCAAGACCCAGGACTGACCAAAATAAACAAACAAAGATAACAAACTTATTACCCAATAGTCAAACATTGAATAATTAAGCAGGAAATTTATGGTGATACAATTAATATATTTAAATTACATTAAAAGCTCGGGCATGCCAGAAACTGGTGCCTCACATCTATAATCCTAGCAACTCAGGAAGCTGAGATCTGAAGACCATGGTTGCAGCCAGCCCACGCAGAAAGACTATGAGACTGTTATCTTCAATAAACTACTAAAAAAAGCTGGAAGTAGCACTGTGGTTCAAGTGATAGAGTGCTAGCCTTGAGCAAAGGAAGCTTAGGGACAGGCCCTGAGTTCAAGCCCCAGGACCAGTTTAAAAAAAAAAAAAAGAAAAAGAGCCCAGACACGGCAGTTCATGTATGTAACCCCAGCACTAAAGCTGAGGCAGGACATACTGGTACTTGAGGCCAGCCTGGCTGCATAGACTTGGCACAAGGAAAAAAAAAGTTACATTCAGTTCAATGGTCAAGATGAATATCGAGACTGCTCTAAAAGAATCTGAAGGAGTTTGTCAGAACCTCCTCAGGGCAGGTGAAGTAATTCACAAGTGCATGTACAGCAAATGGGCTACAGAACCACCAATGTTGGACTAGTGGCTCTAGGAAGCCTCACTTAGTCTGCTCCTACGAGGGTCTTAATTTAGCAATTTTACAAAGTGAATTCTGTCAGTGACATCAGCTGACAAAGCTGAGGACTGATAAGTTAATCCAACTCAACAGATAACTGAATTATAAAGCAGAATGCTGAAAAGTTGGTGATAAAGGTGCTTTCCAGGAAAAATAGATTAGTATGTCCTTTATCCAGAATTCCCTTTTCCCAATGTCAGAGTGAATGGGAGAACAAGAGAATAATAATAGACTTAAAGCTGAATACCAATGACTCTTGCTGGTAATCCTAACTACTCAGGAAGCTGAGATCTAAGGATCCAGGCAGATCAATGCCAGCCAAGCAGGTACTGTATAAAAAACCAATTTACCAGCAAAAAGCCAGAAGTAAAGGTGTGGCTCATGCAATAGAGCTCCAGCCTTGAGTTTAAGTTGCAGCAGCAGCCCCGCCCTGCCCACCCTCCCCCCCCACACACACACAAAATAAAGACAGAAAAAAATTTCAGGCTTGTTCAGGATACCAGAACAAAGCAATTTTTGAAAAACACTGAAACTGGGCTATGGTCATGTCTATTATTAACTACTATGTTTGGGCTTTTTTTACTTCAACTCTCACAGGATAACTTAGCTTCCAAATTCCGCAGAAAGATGGAGAAACTCACTGCAGGAGGAAACTGAGTTTTCTAACCTAGAGGGAAAACTACCACTAAAGAGCAGGAAATGAGATAAGGCAGTGTAAAAAAATCTAGAAGACCACAACCAATGTCATTGGTTATAAGTAAATTGGCACCTGTCAACCAGAAGAATGTGACCCTCCTTTCCAGCCACCTTCTCATTAATTTATGTAACCCTGAAATACTGCTTTGCTCACATGACACAGATGCTACCAAACCTTCACTAGATCCTTAATAAATAAAGCCCAGACTCTGGTTTGGCTTCAAGGCCCTCCAAGCCCACCGCAGGTTCTGAATCACTTTGGACCACGGTTCCCTCAAAATTGTTTTGCCCTTTCTTTGCTCCATACCTTCTCCATGAGGGTACTCCACTGTGGCCTCGGCCTTGGGCTTCTCAAGGTACTAAGGGACTCCCAACTACAGTCGTCTGAGTCAGTGAGTACCTAACGCTCTCTCCAGGATGCCTAGCGGGGTGTCAGAGTCGTCTCTACACTTACGCTTAGCTGCTGATTTGAAAAGCAATGTAGAGAAAGCACTGGGTGTGGCTACCTTGCTGAGCCCGAATTCGTCCACTTCATCAGGGGGGATGCCGTAGTTACCGATCAGCGGATATGTCAGCACTAGGATCTGTGCTTTGTAGGAAGGGTCAGTGAGGGCCTCGGGGTAGCCGACCATGCCGGTCTGGAACACTGTAGAAGGAGGCAGGGCTGGGCTGGGCTGGGGCAAGGGCACTCAGAACCCTGCCGAGTACACCCCCGGCGCCTGCCTCAGTGTGCGGGATCAAAGGCGCTGAGGCCGGGGCGACCGCGCACGGGGAGATGGGCTGTGCAAGCGGGGTCTGGGCAGGGGAGGGTGGGTGGAGAGGGGTCTTAAAAGTGCGATGAGGTGGGCAGCCCGCCCGGGCTCGCTTACCCACTTCCCCAGAAGCCGACACAGCGGCCCCGAAGGGCCGGCCCCGCAGCACCGACCCGTCCTCCAACACCAGCGCGGCCATGGGGACGGAGCTGAGGCTGGGGCGAGCACCGAGATGCGGAAGGCGCGGCGAGCCCCGCTGGAACCAGTCGAGTACGGCGCGCCGGAGTCGGTCCACGTGGCTGGCGGCGCCGGGCGCTGGAGAGGAGGCGGGCTCAGCAGCCTGGAGTCCCGAGCGCGCTCCGCGACCGCGCGACTGCGGCGGCGCGGGGAGCCAGCAACGTGAGGGGCGGGGCCTGGCGCGTAAGGGGCGTGGTTACGGGCGGGAGCCTGCGTCTCCTCCGCTGGTCAAAACCTGGGAGACCTGAAAAACCCGACCGCCCCAAAGGAGCCCCGCAAGCGGGAAATGTGCAAAAGCCTTTCCCTAAAAAAGGAAACAAGGAAGGAAAAAGAAGAAAAAAGTTTATTGTAGTCAGTAACACAATGGGACCTAGTACTAGTCCAGTCCTGACCCAGGGTCCAAAACACTCTACTAGGGTGCAATAAAGTACAGAACCCTTCCATGGGCGGCCCCAGCCTTGAGGAGGATTCCTCCGGCTGCCCAGTGAAGCCTGTCAAGGAAGCAATTCTCCGTGGCTGTCCTATGGAGTTTCAGGTTGGTTTCGGGTAGTAGGACGTCCTATGTGGTTCATGAAGTCTTGGCTTTTCGGCGTTGGGTTCCCCAAAGCAGAATGGAGATGGATAATGTAGTGGATCCCAGAATCCCGAAGAACATAAGAAGTGAGAAAGAGCCCTGTGATTAACAGAAGAGAAAACGTCAGCATTACACAGAGGGGTGCATCTTGAACGCCTAATTCTTTCCTAGGAACATATGCCCCCATCTTGGGGCATATTCACAGCTGTTTCCTCCTCCTCTATGTAACTAGCATCTTCAGCTCCTGCTCTTGTGGTCTTTTTCATTGTTGTTGTTGTCTGTCATGGGGCTTGAACTCTGGGCCTGGGCGCTGTTCCTGAGTTCTTCAGCTCAAGGTGAGCACTCTACCACTTAAGCCACAGCGACACTTCCGGCTTTCTGGTGGTTAATTAGACTCAGCCTCCCGAGTTGCTAGGATTACAGCCACTAGAGCCAGGCTGTGGCTGTCTTTGAGAGGCTCTTTCTTGCCTATGCTTCCTCTTAACCCTGATGAGATCTAACTCCTCACCTGCCGCATACACTTGTATCCATGGAAGCCATCTTCACAAACACACTGCAAAAGACCAGGACCAGCAGGAGCACAAGATCCATTTTCAGGACACATTTCTGGGAGCCAGAGAAAAACAGAGAATATCATTAAAATTCAGTAAGTTTATTTCTTAAATATATGCTTTAGTTGAATTCTCTCAACCAACCTAATACTATCATGGTCACACTTGTAATCCTAGCTACTCAAGAGTCTGAGATCTGAGATTTGAAGCCAGCCCAGCCGGAAAGTTTTGTTTGTTTGTTTTTGTCGGTCGTGGGGCTTGAACTCTGGGCCTGAGCGCTGTCCCTCAGCTCTTCAGTTCAAGGCTAGTGCTCTACCACTTGAGTTACGCCACTTCCGGTTTTCTGGTGGTTTATTGGAGATAAAAGTTTCACAGACTTTCCTGCCCAGGCTGGCTTTGAACTGCGATCCTCAAATCTCAGCCTCCTGAGTAGCTAGGATTACAGGCGTGAGCCACTGGCACCCGGCCCAGCCGGAAAGTTTGAAAGCCTCTTATCTCCAACTAACCACCAAAAAGCTGGAAGTGGAGCTGCGGCTCAAGTTAATATCACATCATGGGGCTGGGAAGGTGGCTCAGTGGTAGAGCGCTTGCCTTGCATGCATGAGGCCCTGGGTTCGATTCCTCAACACCACATAAGCAAAAAGAAAAAAGCTGGAAGTAGGGCTGTGGCTCAAGTGGTATAGCGCTAGCCTTGAGCTGAAGAGCTGAGGGACAGCGCCCAGGCCCAGAGTTCAGGCCCCACGACCGGACCCAAAAACACAAACAAACAAAAAAAAGTTAATATCACATCAATATTGAGCAAAAAAGCTCATTGCTCAAGCCCTGAGTTCAAGCCCCAGAACCAGCACAAACAAACAAAAAAAAATTATTTCAATCATTTCTAGGTTAAAAAAAATTTACAATCAGAACATAACAATAATAAATTTTATCACTTTTTTCCCCTAAGGAAGTAGAGCCTAAGAACTCCGAACAAAAGGGACTTAAAGATCTTTATCTTTCTGATCTAAAGTACAGAATATAAGGGAGGAAAGGAAGTTCCTAGAAAGGTGGAGGAAAGACAGTATAAGTATACCTGGATTCCCAGTGCTATTGCAAAGATCCTTTTGCCCTTGGCAGACTTGGCTGTCTACATAGGAGGTAATGTGTACCCAGGCATTAATACCTCCAGGACAGATGACATCTTGAGGCAGTATCCTGAAGACAACACAGGTGGTCATAACATATAGTCCAAGGGGCTAGGCCTGGTTTCAATCCCCACACACAAGCTTGCAGCCCAGAGTTACTAAGCTCAGCAATGACCCTTTTTGATTCTTTTTTCCCCACCCTATTACTTACAGAGTCTGCAGTTGGGTAAAGCCATGGAAGGTATTGGTCAAGTTATCCTTGAGGGGATTTGCTTGCAAGTCTCTGCAAAACAGTTAGCACTCTGCATAGGAAAGCCCGCCCTCCATATACATTCGTACATTCACATACCTGCCTGGACCCAATCCTTATCTCAAGTGGTCTGAGTTTAGATATTAATATTTGTCCACCTTATCAAGAGTCTATTCCCAGGTTCATGCCTATAATCCTAGCTACTCAGGAGGCTGAGATATGAAAATTGAGGTTTGAAGCCAGCCTGGGAAGAAAAGCCTATGAGACTTATCGTCAAGTAACTACTGGGGAAAAAAAAAAAGCCAGTGGAGCTGTGGCTCAAGTGGTAGAATGATCGCCTTAAGCACAAAAGCTCAAGGATGGTGCCCAGGCTCTGAGTTCAAGCCCCAGGATGGATGTTTGCGTGTGCGCGAGCACACACACACACACAGCCTCTCCTCCAAAGACTTTCCCATCAATACTTAATTAACCATATTCACCTTTTAGTCTGGAGAGTACTTAACTACTTACATGATAACAGCAGTACGTGCTTGAGGAAAGTCTGGACCAGGATTCTTCAGAGAACAGTTCTGGAGATCTAGCCTGAGAAAATAATTAGTGTAAGTACGGGTCTCATTTTCGTTTTTTGTTTGTTTGTTTGTTTTTGTCGGCCATGGGGCTTGAACTCTGGGCTTGGGCGCTGTCCTTGTGTTCTTCAGCTCAAGGCGAGTGCTCTACCACTTAAGCCACAGCACCACTTCTGGTTTTCTAGTGGTTTATTGGAGATAAGAGTCTCACGAACTTTCCTGCCCTGGCTGGCTTTGAACCGCAATCCTCAGATCTCAGCCCCATGAGTAGCTAGGATTACAGGCTTGAGCCACCGGCGTCCAGCTATGGGTCTCATTTTCATCCAAGGCAAGGTTTGTACTTGATCAGGCAATTCCCTTCAGATAATATTAACTAAACATAACTGTGTTCACAACCATAAATGTGGTGCTATGGTAGACATTGTAATCAGGCAGTATACATTATAGCCAATACTAGCTACATGTAGCTACTTGAACTTAATGTAACCTAACAATCCAGTGCTTCGTTTGCACTAGTTACATTTCAAGTGCATATGAAATACTGTAACAATGTTAGTGGCTACTGTGTTCCTTCATCACAGAAAGTGATGGACCACAGTGTTCTAATCCGTGCACCTATGTACTATGCATATATTGGAAGACATTTTACCTCTTACCTAAATTAGTGATTTTCATATTATGATTCTTAGATCCACAGAGGAGATTTAAATCAAAGTGCAAGTTATATAAGGTTTTATATAAGTGTATTTTCTGTCAGACTGTAAACTTCTGTACATCAAGGACCACAACACATTATTTTTTCTCCAATATGTATTGCTTTCCATTTACTTACAAATACTGAGTGCCTACAAACTATAAACATATGAAAAGTATACAATATACACATATAATTCAGTAGCTCAGTCTTTACAAGGCTTTGTAGTAGTAGAATGCCTTGAGACTGTTACCATGGGACTGGAAAGGTGGCTCAGTGGTAGAGTGCTTGCCTCACATGCATGAGGCCCTGGGTTTGATTCCTCAACACCACATAAACAGAAAAGGCCAGAAGTGGTAATGTGCTCAAGTGGTAGAAAACTAGCCTTGAGCTGAAAAGCTCAGGGACAGCACCCAGGTCTAGAGTTCAAGCCCCACAACCGACAAAAAAAAAAAAAAAAAGATGTTGGACCATGCAGGGAAGTCTGTGAGACTTTTTATCTCCAATAAACTCACACAATAGACTCAGGGATGGTGTCCATGACTGACAAAATTAATTAATTAATTAATTAATTAAAAATAAATAAATGGGCTGAGATGGTAGCTTAATGGTAGAGTGCTGCCCTAGCATGCGTGAAACCCTAGCTTTGATTCCTCAGTACCACATACACAAAAAAAGCTGGAAGTGGCGCTGCGGCTCAAGTGGTAGAGTGCTAGCCTTGAGCAAAAGAAGCTCAGGGATAGCACCCAGGCTATCCCTGAATTGGCCATCAATCAATCAATTAATCAATAAGCGGTGCAGAAAAAGGGGAGTAGAATTAGTCCCAGTAGTTCATCTGTTGAACTTTAATCTGAGGGTGACAAACAGTCATAATGTTAAAGCAAGAGCATCATACTGAAAAAAAAAAAAAAAGATTTAGTTTTCAGAAAGTTTAATATAGAGAAGTATTTAGGTAGATTAGGGAAGGAGAATGAAAGCAAGACATGACATTTTGAGTTTGAAGCAAGAATACATCCTAGAAGAAATGTTTTATAGGTAACTAGAGGTCCTACATACACCTAAAGCTTGGAAAAGTTAAAGCCCAAACAGACTTAATTTTGAGAGACACCTGCATGATGCATACAGTTGAAGCCATTAAAAATATTCTTGTGGGAAGCTGGGCTCAGGTGGCTCATGCCTGCAATCCTAACTACTCAGGAGTCTGAGATCTGAGGACCCAGTTCAAAGCTATCCGGGGCAGGAAAGTCCGTGAAATTCTTATCTCCAATAAACTACCAGAAAACTGGAAGTGGCACCGTGGCTCAAGTGGTAGAACACTCTCCTTCAGCTGAAAAACTGAGGGACAGTGCCCAGGCCCAGAGATCAAGCCCCATGACCACCCCCACCCCCCCCAAAAAAATGTATATTCTTGTGAGGGCACTAGTAGCTCATGCCTGTAATACTAACTACTAAGAAAGCTGAGATCTGCAGATAGAGGTTTGAAGGCAGTTCACGCAGAAAACTCTGAGAGACTATCTCCAAAATAGTCTGCAAAAAGATGGGCTGGAGGAGTGGCTCAAATGGAAGAGCACCAGCCTGACAAATATTTGGCCCTGAGTTCAAATTCCACTAATGCCAAATAAATGGGGGAAAAAGCCATATCTTTCCAGGAGAACCACAGGATTGTTTACTTAGCAAAAAATGCTGGGGCTGGGAAGGTGGTTCAGTGGTAGAGTGCTTGCCTTGTATGCATGAGGCCCTGGGTTCGATTCCTCAGTACCACATAAGCAGAAAAAGCCGGAAGTGACTCTGTGGCTCAAGTGGTAGAGCAGTAGCCTTGATCTAAAGAGCTGAGGGACAACGCCCAGGCCCAGAGTTCGGGCCCCAATCCAAAAAAAAAAAAAAAAAATTCTGTAAAACTTAAAAGTTTGAGAACACTTTAGATGCATCTACTTAGGCACCGATCTGGTAAGGCTTATAGACTTAATACTTTTTCCAAAGTTCAAGGATGTCTTCTCCTCCCTCACCCCAAGATGGCGCCCTTCTGATTCAGGCAGCAGCGGGCACGCAGCGTTAGTTCTGATGTCTGCTTACAATAAACAGCCACTTGTGAAAAATTTTGCACACTTCCCGGACACTGAGTGCATATCTGCAGGAGAGAGAGAAAAAGAAACAATTTTATTAGGACTGTAGGAAATAAAGCCAAGATAAGATCAAAAGCTAACTGCCAGTAAACCTAGTTATTGGGGTATTGCCAGTTGGGCAAGAAGTCAGTCGGACTCTCCGCTCAATTAATAAGCTAGCCATATTCCAGATGCATAGGTAGGAGGATTGCTGTTTGTGTCCCGATGGGACAAAAACATGGGAGGAGTGTCTAATAAGCGGGAGAGATTCTGAGTTCAAAATTCTAGCGATCATCCGCCCTCCCACCCCTAAAATTAACTGTCTGTATCCTCTCCAGAAGTCCTCTAACAGAGGTGGCTTTTACAAGGCTGGAGTAGAAGATGCCATTTCTTCTCCTAAAGCTGGGTGTCTATCAGTAAAGTGCCAGACTTTCGGTACCAGTCCTCACTCAGGGAGGGCCTTCGTCTTTGAGAATTATCAACTAAACATAGGATAGCGTCTTCAGAGACCTCTCCGACACACCCGGTGAGGACTACAGGTACACAAAGAACTCGCCATCCAGTATCACAGAATGTAGTGGAAGCACCCACTACGTACGCGGAGGAAGCAGCCTGCAAACGTCTAGGGGACTCCTCCGTGGGAAGAACAAATTAGTTATTCCAAGACTGAGGAGCGAGGAGATCAAATTTCAAATGACTTCGATGCAGGGCGGACGAGGACGGCCGGGGTCTGGGAAACTGAGCGCTAGGGGCAGGATCCGGCCGGGTACGGCAGAGGCCAGAGACCAAATCTGGGCTTGTGCTGACAGGGTGAATGGGGACAGCCACCGGCGAGCGCGACCAGCAATCCTGCTTGGGCCCGACCTCAGACTTGCTTCTGTACCTCGGGGAGCGCCAGAGCCCTTTCCACGCCCAGAGCCAGGAGTAGGGCCGTAGCCCAAGGCCACAGGGCGCCAGGACTGCCGTGCACGGGAGACGCCATTTCCCGTTCCCTTCGACCTTCTAGACAGCTCGCGAGAGCAGCGCTAAGCCCCGCCCCTCGTGGCACGCCTGCGCGTAGAGGCGTGGCCTAGCCCGCCTGGCGCAGCTCCCTGGGCGGGGCTTAGCCGGTCCCCGTCGCCCGGCTCGCACTGCGGGACGCTGGCGCTGTGGGAAGTCCGCGCTCATGTCTGCGCGTTCCAGTTCTCTTTCGAAATGAACAGAGCCACCTCTTCTTCATTCCTCTCTTTACCTCACGCCTCTCCTGCCGCCGCCCAGCTCCTCTGAGCGGACTGGAGGCGCCCTCAGCCCCGCATTCTATGCCCCCCGGGACGCCTCGATAACGCTTACGGCCGTGGCCCGGGCCGCTCCATCCGCCCTCAGTAAACATGGCGGCGCAGCGTCTGGGGCGGGCGAGGGGCGGGGCGCTGTCACCCGACCCGGAGCGCTGCCTGCTTGCTACCCACGAGTGGAGACCAGGCAGGTGGGCCGGGCGGGTGGGGGCCGGAGCGGAGAGGCTCCGCTGATTCGTGTCGGCGCTGGGGAGGAGCGCGGGCCGGGGCGGGGCAGGGCGAGCTGCCCGCAGCGTGGAGACCGGGAAGGTCTGCAGAGAGCGCAAGGTGATGAGCTCGCGTCTTGCGGAGGGACGGGAAAAACTGGAAAGAAGAGGGTCAGGGCGCTGAAGGAGGGAAGGGCGAAGGGCACATTCCGACCCGAGGACTCGACACCGGAAACGCCCCGGGTTACCGAGTCCTCTTCACCTTAGTCCCGAGACTGTTCATCTCCGAGCCTAGCGTGGAGGTAGGAGCGGAATCGACGGTTCCCTAACTTCTTTCCTTTGCCTAAGCAGAAAAAGGGAGCGATGCTGATCTTGGGAAGAAAGAAGGGATTCGCCTAGCCCCGACGGAACGACAGAGGTAAGGCAAGGCAGTGCTACCCCAGAGTGGCCCAGAGCCTGCCTGAAAGGCGCGCGAGGGAGAAGGTGGAAGAACTGTTGTCTTTGGTTAGCCGACCTCCCTGTCCTCTTCCCCCCCCCCGCCCCCGCACCCCGTTCACCCATCCTAGTCCGAGCACCCGGCCCGGATTTCTCTTCCACGTGTTCCTAGACCTCTGCCTGGAAATTCTGAATTTACACTTTCGTTTAGGTGGCTGTCAAGTCTTGTTTTAATAAAAGTCTCCAAGCCTTCCAGACTCTGAGCAATTTTGGTTACAAGACAAATTATTTTTGTTTTCCCAGCTTGCTCAGTTAGTCTGGCGTTCAGCTGTTGAGTCACACCTCCAGCCTAGCATTTTGCTGGTTATTAGAGCTGGAGTCTCCTGGCCTTTGCTGCCCCTGCTAGCCTTACACTATAGTCCTACACACCTTAGCCTCTTGAGTATTTAGGATTACAAGCTTAACATACTAGTGTCTGGCTACAAGATTGGTTTTGAGGGAACCTTTTAATGACTTAGAGTGGCCTCTTACAGTTGAAAGTATAGCTCATTGGTAGAGTGCAGATCTAGCTGGGTTCAGTACTCAGCACTGGGCTGAGAATGTGACAATGGTAGAGTGCTTGCCTAATATGCACGAAGCCCTGGGTTCTATTCCTCAGTACCACATAAACAGAAAAAAACAGGAGCGGTGCTGTGGCTCAAATAGAGTGCTAACCTTGATCAATAGAAGCTCATGGATAATGCCCAGGCCCTGAGTTCAAGCCCCAGTACTGGCAAAATAAATAATAAATACTCAGCACTGCAAAAACCCTTACAGAGGGCTGAGTAGGTGGCATAATGGTATAGTGTTCACCTAGCATGCACGAAGCTGTGGGTTTGATTACTTAGTATCACATACATAGAAAAAGCCAGGAGTGGCGCTGTGGCTCAAGTGGTAGAGTGCTAGCCTTGAGCAAAAGCAGCTCGGACAGAATCCAGGTCCTGAGTACAAGCCCCAGGACTGGCAAAAAAAACAAGATCTGGTAGAGGGAGGAAAGATGAGGTGAATGAAGGATGATGGAAACTCATGGTCATACCGTGAATAAGCTCGATTTTAAAAAAAGCCTACAGAAAATAATAGCTTTTATGGAGTTTAATCCAATGGGGTGGGTGACCAACTTTTTTTTTTGTCAGTCATGGTGCTTGAATTCTGGGCCTGGACGCTGTCCCTGAGCTCTTCATCTCAAGGCTAGAGCTCTGCCACTTGGGCCACAGACCCACTTCTGGTTTTATGGTGGTTAATTGGAGATAAGAGTCTCACAGACTTTGCTGCCCAGGCTGGCTTTGAACCTCAGTCCTCAGATCTCAGCCTCCTGAGTAGCTAGGATTATAGGAATGAGCCACCAGCACCCAGCGGGACCACTTTTTTAAAGGGGATATTCCACCAGCCCATTTGTGCCTTGCTATGTTACAGTTTTAATGAAGCAACTGGGCCCTTCCTTTTAGCTCCTACTCCATCAGATTTGGATCATTGTAGACTTTTTAGAAAGCTACTGTTCTATTCCTAGAATTTATTCTTGTCAATTGAAGTCTTTGTTACTGGGTTGAGTTTTTCCTGTCTTGCTTGGCTCTCCAGCTGTGTGGCAGAGTTCTATGCATCTCATACAAATAAAATTTAGTTAGGAAACCTCATCACTAGAGGAACTCAGTACTGGACTTTTCTTCTACCACATGCCTATCTATACCACTAAACCTTTAGTGCTGTATGCTTTTTGCATACAAAAAAAAATTTTTTTTCCTCCCTTTATCCTTCCCCACTGTACTTTTGTGTTTGATATTGAACTTAGGGCCTTGCACCTGCTAGGTAAGCACTCTACTTTTTGAAACAGGGTCTTGCTATGTATTGCAGGCTTGTCTTGGACTCACCATCTACCTGCTTCTGCTTTCTGAATGCTGGAATTACAAGTATGTGCCACCACATCCAGAGGCAATCTTTTGTATTTCCAGCAGTTCCCATTTCTATTGTAACATTCAAAACTCAAGAGGAATGAGAAAACTCTGTATGTAGCAATATACAAAGACCAATGCTAGCTTTATGTTGATCCAGTGACCTTTTTGGATTCTTGTTTTAGAGACTAGCATTTGTGACTCTGGAAGCTCAGAGTTCAAGTCGAGTCAGGTATGAGACAATACCTTGCCTACCAGACTACAGTTGTGAGAGTGCCAGAAGATAGCCTGATCTTTCTCCTAGTGGGCAAGAGCAGAAGACAGTTTATATTAATCTGTCTGTGGTTGAAATCTAAACTGTGTTCCGTGAATGACTGACTACATTGTTCTTACCCTGGTTCTCAGAGTGTAGGGACAGGGTCTCTGGTCTATCACATGTCATAGTTGTAGACAGCAGTATTTCTTTTTTCCTTGTATTGTATTGTGCTGCATAACCTTCAGCAGGTTTATTTCTTTAACACAGCTACCTTGTGAAAACTTGGGGAGTATTCCTGTCTTAATCTAAGACATGGTATTTTATATAGTACATCTAGTTGTTTATAAAGTACTTGTTACACTTTTGGTTACATACCAAGTGTTTAGAAAATGTTGACTGTCGGCTGGGAAGGTGGCTCAGTGGTAGAGTGCTTGCCTTGCATTCATGAGGCCCTGGGTTCGATTCCTCAGTACAACATAAGCAGAAAAAACTGGAAGTGGTGCTATGGCTCAAGTGGTAGAGAACTAGCCCTGAGCTGAAGAGCTGAGGGACAGCGCCCAGGCCCAGAGTTCAGGCCCCACTACTGACCAAAAAAAAGAAAAGAAAGAAGCCGGGCGCTGGTGGCTCACGCCTGTAATCCAGCTACTCAGGAGGCTGAGATCTGAGGATCGCGGTTCAAAGCCAGCCCGGGCAGGAAAGACCATGAGACTCCTATCTCCAATAAAACCACCAGAAAACCGGAAGTGGCGCTGTAGCTCAAGTGGTAGAGCGCTCGCCTTGAGCTGAAGAGCTGAGGGACAGCGCCCAGGCCCAGAGTTCAAGCCCCATGACCGACAAAAAAAAAAAAGAAAAGAAAAGAAAGAAAATGTTGACTGTCATCATCTGAAGCTATCTAAATATGTGGCATTCTGTGTGTTTTGTCCTTGTGTATGTGTTCACACTCATGCACATGTACTGGTATGTGCTGAGGCTTGAATTTAGGCCTGGGTGCTATCCCTTAGCTTTATTGCTCAAGGCTGGTGCTTTGCCAATAAGCTCCACCTCCATGTCCAGCTTTTTTCTGATTAATTGAAGATAAGAATCTCATAGACTTTTCTGCCCTTTTCTGACTTTTCTGGCTTTGTATTTTTATCCTCAGCTTTCAGCCTCTTGCATAGCTCAGATTATAGGAATAAGCCCCTGGTGGGTTTTTTTGTTGTTGTTTGGTTTGATTTTGTTGCTGTTGTTGCCAGTCCTGGGGCTTGAACTCAGGGCCAGGACACTGTCCCTGAGCTTCTTTTGCTCTAGGTTAGCACTCTACCACTTGAGGCCCAGTGCCACTTCCGGCTTTTTCTGTTTATGTGGTACTGAGGAATTGAACCCAGGGCTTCATGCATGTTAGGGAAGCATTCTACCACTAAGCCACATTCCCAGCCCATGTTTTGCTTTTTCCTTTCATGCCAATAAGTACTTGTAAGAGATTACTTTTGAAAGTAAAATAACAGGCCAGGCGCCGGTGGCTCACGCCTGTAATCCTAGCTACTCAAGAGGCTGAGATCTGAGAATCCCAGTTCAAAGCCAGCCCGGGCAGGAAAGTCCGTGAGACTTTTATCTCCAATAAACCACCAGAAAACCAGAAGTGGCACTTTGGCTCAAGTAGTAAAGCACTTGCCTTGAGCTGAAGAGTACAGGGACAGTGCTGAGGCCCAGAGTTCAAGCCCCATGACCGACCAAAAATAATAATAATAATAATAGTGTGGAAAGCAGGATTGATAGGGAATCACTAGACATGGTCTGATCTGGCCTCTAACAGTAATTTGCTAAGTTTTTAGGTTACTTAAATCACGTAGGCCTTAATGTGATTACCTGTAAAATGAAGAGATTGTAAGAGTCATCTCCTTAGATTTCTTTAAACTTTGGATAATATAATCCCATTCTTGTTCTTTTTTGTACTCTAG